TCCAAAAGGAGCCGTCAATTGGCTTGGTATATCTTCCTCCCTTCTGCTTGTCATGATCGTCCAGCTAAAATTTGGGGGCCAACAGAGGTGAGGCAAAGAACCTCACCCCCCCACTAGTACAAAGACCTCTCCACAGGTGTGGCTGTATACTGGACCGATAGTCAGTGATGGGTAAGATCCAATTGCAATGGTACCAACCTAACGGGTAAGGACCATATGTTCTATTGGACAACCTAAGGCAGGCACAGTCCCTAAGCCACATGCTTTTTGTTTAAACAGAGAGGGGGACTGAGCTGTGAGTCCAGAGGTGCCTGGTCAGACCCTGGGTCCTGCCATTGATTTCCTCTGTGCAATCCAAGGGCTCTGCCATCCCCTTTGAAATGGGGGATTGGACTAGATTCCTTGGTTCGTTCATTCAGTGACCACGCCCTGTGCACTTAGAGCATCCCAGGTATCCTCCCGGTGCTGGGGAGACTTCAAGGAACAAAAGAGACAAGGATCTCTGCCTCACAGAGTTCACATTTTAGTGTGAAAAGCTGATAGAGACTAAAGAAATAATTAAGTTATCTATTAAATTGTATAAATGCCTTAAAAAGCAATACAGAATAAGAGGGGGTAGGAAAAGCTGGATTGGGGCCAAGTTTACAATTTTAAATAGGATTCCTAGAGAGTGACATTGAAGGAGGTGAGTGAGCTCTGTAGATACCAGGTGGGGCGGGGAGACTTGCCAGGGGGAACAGACAGTGCAAAGGCCCTGTGGTTGGAGATCACCCTTGTGTTGGAGGCCAGGGCAGCTGAAATGGAGAGAACCAGGAGAGGCAGGGAAGGGCCAGGTTGCACAGAGCTGGCAGCCTCGTGGTGGGGGCTTGCACGTTTACCTGAGGTGAAATGAGCAGCACTTCCAGCAGAGGAGAGAGATGACCTAACCATGTTTTCAAAGAATCTCTGTGGCCTCGGTGTTGAGAACTGGCTGCGGGAGCACTGGGAAGATCCCTACTATGTGGAGCCACAGATCACCAGAGGCTGGTTGGACAACAAGCCAGGGTCCGACCTTCAGCTCACTCCTGACCCTCTTCTAACCACCTGGGGGTACACCCCTTCTGAGGGCCCAGACTCCACCCCTCTCTCCAGCCCTTTAGAAGAAGCACCCCAAGTTCCTACCCACCTTCCTGGAGGTGGGGTAACGATGACAGTGCCAGATTCCAATACTCAGTCCTCATCTGCACATCCAAAGTAGGCTTGGGCATGTTTACCCTTGGCCCAGGCTCAAGTCTCAAGACAAACTGGGCCACACGGGGCGCCCACAGTTGACCCTGCTGCAGCCTGCTGCTGTCCCGAGCCGTGAGCCTCGGGCTCCAGGGAGCTTCCCTGTCTGCTCTGCCCCTCCCCCATCCCTCTAAGCTGCCCCAACATCTACTACTGTCCTTTCCATCACTGGAAGGAGCTGGACACACACCTGTAATTCCAGCAGCTTGGGAGGCCGAGGCAGGAGGATCATAAGTTCAAAGCCAGCCTCAGCAACAGCGAGGCCCTAAACAGCTCAGTGAGACCCTGTCTCTAAATAAAATACAAATAGGGCTGGACATGGGGCTCAGTGGTCGAGTGCCCCTGAGTTCAATCCCCAGTGCTGATGACTACCCCCAAAAAAGAACTGTAAGGTGTCTTAGAGGGGCTCTGCCCAGTCTTTCCTCTTTACATATGGGGAAACTGAGGCCCAGAGAAAATCAGCAGCTTAAGAAGGCCAAGGAGTTTCTTGAGACCAGCCTCGTTTAGGGAGGCCCACCCCTCCCCATCCAGCGGTTCCCGCTGCACTGAGCATCTGTCCTACTCCTGTTTATAGGAACACCGAGCCGGGGACCCCGTGGCTCTGCTATAAGTGTCCTGTGACTTCATCCTCAGGGCCTCAGTTTCCTTAGCTCTAAAATGGACTTTTAAAATTTCGTTCTAATTGGAAACGAAACCAGTTAACACCTGAGAACATACAGATTGTAAGCCCGCCCAGACCCGGATCTCAGCAGCTGCCAACGAATGAGAAAAAATCTTTCAACAGCGCAAGAGAAATCAACGCAGCCCAAGCCAAGGTCGCCGGCGGGGTGGGGGGAGCAGGAACGCAGGCTCCTCAATTCCGCAGCTCTGCCGTCTGGGTTAGCTGGCGGAGCTCAGTCCAGCAGCCACTGGCAGAACGAGACACACCCTTCAACCTGGTCAGTTCTCGAACATTTGCAAATCAATCTCAATGAAAGCACAAATGGAGAAAATCAATTTGCACTAATATGGTTATCTGGGATGCACAAAAAAATTAGAAAAAATCCAAAGCGGTCATTCAGTCATTCCACTCACAGATGAAGGACTAGCCTCCCATACGATAGCAGGAGCCACTCCCTGGATGCATCTCTCTTTCTGCCTTAACAAGAACCTCAGCAGGTTACATGGTGGCCACAGATAGATATTCCAGGTCCCAGCATCTCTTGCAATAGTGTGGCCTTGTGACCAAGTTTTAGTTAATGGACTATAAACAGAAAAGTCATATGTGACAAAACAATTCATAGGTAACATACATTACAGAGAGAGAGAGAGAGAGAGAGAGAGAGAGAGAGAGAGTGTATGCCCCTCCTGATCCCCTCTTTCTTTCAGCTACCTGGAATGCAAATGTCATAGTTTGAGTTTCAGCAGCCATCCTGGGCCATTGTGGGGAAGCTGCCCGTTGAGATTGGCAGAGTGACACACAAGAAGAAGCCTGTGTTTCCTTGTTCTCGCGGGATCATTGCTTTGGCTCCAGATGGCCTAGTAACCTGGGGTGTTTATGTCATTGTTAATTTGAGTTTTCTACTATTAATAGTTATATCCAAGTCTAAGTGATACAAACACACAGGGAGAAAATGTTCAGCGGAAAACACAAACGTGTTTTTTTATTTTTCATGGATTACAGTTAGGTGAGCTATATGTTGGAAGAACAATTGTGGCCAGGTGGAGAATCATCGGTGACACAGGGATGCTGTCGATTGGATTTTCCCCAGTAAATCAGTTTAGGAGCTGAATCAGTCAGAACAGGGTATGTTGTGCTGAGGTGACGAGTAACTCCTTAATCTCAGGGGTTTAAAACAACTCCACTCCCGCTCACTCTTCGTGTTCATTGTGAGTGGGCAGGAAGGAGGTCATCCTAGTCAACGGGCCATCAGGAGGACAGAGAAGCTAGGCCAGAGGGAAGAGACTGGAGTCAGGAGTTCAAAGCTCTCACCTGGAATGCACTCTTTTTCTGCTGGCAGCTCACTGACCAGACCCAGCTCTAGGACACCCTGCCCACGTGGAGGAGGACAGGTGCAATCCTACCACTGTCCCAGAAGGGGAAACTTGGCTTCAGTTGCACTAATGACAACCACAGATGCAGATGAACAGAATTTAATAGCATAAACATTTGTGAAATGATGTTTAGAAGTTGTCTTTCTGGGGAGGGGGGAGTCCTGCTGTGTGTGGTGGTGCACACCTGTAATCTCACTACTCTGGAGGCTGAGGCAGGAGGATTACAAGTTTGAGGCCAGCCTCAGGAACTTAGTGAGACCTTGTCTCCAAATAAAATACAAAGAAGGGTTGGGGGTGATGCCTCAGTGGTCAAGAACCCTGGGTTCCATCCCTGAGCCCTGGGAAACATGGTCACAGGCAGCATCCACAAGCCTTTGGGAAGCTCCTGATTGGACAGAACCAGAGGGAGCCCCCCTTCCCCCCGCCCGCAGGCAGAATCTGAAGGGGTTAGTGTGGGCACCAGAGGATAAATGTAAGGAACAGGATGGGAGCTCCCTTGCCTGTTCCCTGAGAAAGGGAGTTGGGGGTGGGTGCAGCCCAGGGCTGGGCTGCTCTAAGCCTGTATTAAAGACCCTCCTGGCCAGGCGCTGTGGTGCACCCTGTAATTTCAGTGGCTTGGGAGGCTGAGGCGAGAGGATTGTAGGTTTTAAGGGCTGGGGCTGGGGCTCAGTGGTTAAGCACCCCTAGGTTCAATTTTTTGGGTGCCTTTAAAAAAAGACCCTCTGTACCCTCCAGCAGGGCCTCAGGGACACAGTCTACCTTGGTGCAGGCCTGGGTAAGCCACTCCCACCCAACCCCAGCCTCAGGGCACTCCAGGGCCTGGCTAGTAGGCTGCACTCTGGCTGGAGGGGCGCACCTTAGCGGCTTCCCAGGGGTCGTGCGGCCACTCGCTCTGCTCTGCTGCAGCCCAGGACGGTGGTGGGGACTTAACTCAGGCTTCCTGAGCTCTGGTTCCACTCATCCTAGATCCTCCGTGCTCAGCGCTGTCCAGAAGTCCCCCATTGCTCAGAGCAGACAGCCTGGCACAAGGGGACCATGCAGATGAGCAAACCAGCCACTGGGGCTTCATAAACGTGTTGGAACCGGAGCAGGGGCATTCGCCCGGTGCTCTGCAGTCTGCGGCTCATCCCAGTGGCTGGTGGTCCCCCCTCCCGTGTCCACTGAGTCTGAATCAGCTGTCTCTACTCCTCCAGGAGCTGTTGACTAGAGTGGGGGTCTCCACGGCGGGAGGGCATTGCATCAGAACCCCCCAGTGCTCAAACGCTCCTCCTACGAAGTGGACATCGGCCCACCTTCTGGCCGCCCCACATCCAGACTCCTGACCTCTGAGCAGAATCTCCTGTATGTGACTCCGGCCAGGAGGCACAGTGACAGCCCGGCTGGAGAGCAGAGGGGTGCAGATGGGCCCCTTCCCTGACCTCGCAGCTGGGCCCAGGCACACAGGCCCTCTCGGCCAGTACCGTGCTTTTGCCCGGGATTTTCTCTCTTACACTAAAGTTGACGACTTTCCTGGTACACAGGTTTATGTCACCACTACCACAGTCAGTGTTTTAGTGAGTGTTGTAACCCTGTGACCAAAAACCCTGACAACAGTGAGAAGTCAGAAGAGGGAAAGTTTTTTTTTTTTTTTTTCCAATTTTTTTTTGAAAGAGAGAGAATTTTTTTTTAATATTTATTTTTTAGTTTTATTTTTTGGCGGACACAACATCTTTGTTTGTATGTGGTGCTGAGGATCGAACCCGGGCCGTACGCATGCCAGGCGAACGCGCTACCGCTTGAGCCACATCCCCAGCCCAGAAGAGGGAAGTTGATCATGTTCCCAGTTTCAGAGGTTCAGTCCACGGTTGGCCGGCGCCAAGGTCAGGCCCGAGGTCAGGAGAGCATCATGGTGGAAGGAAGGGTGTGGGAGGAAAGCTGCTCCAGCTCAGGAACCCAGGAAGGAGGGCGGGAGGGAGGGAGAGAGAGAGAGAGAGAGAGAGAGAGAGAGAAAACACAAGCCCTATTCACCAGGGGAAACCAACCCCAAGGGCAGGACCCAGGCCCCCCCACCCCACCCTCCCCAGTGGTCCTTTGGAGTTATTACCCACCTAATGGATTAAAGGTCGGATCAGGTCACAGCTGTCCTGGTCGGGTCACCTCTGCACATCCCTGCGTGGTGTCACACAGCCGCCCTCAGGGGACACCTCATAGTCAAGCTGTAACAATTAGGACAGTGAAGCACTTTGTCACCCCAAGTCCCCCTTCACTATCCCTTTCTTTGCCCAGGATCCTGACCTGCAGGGAACAATACAGAGAAGTGGGGACTGACCCATCCTTCACACTGGACGGTGCCCAGAGCTGGCGGGTCAGCGTGCCCTAGCTGGGCCCCCTGGGCGTCCCTCCTTGCTGCCTTCTGGCCACTTCCCCAGCCTGCTTCTTGGCCTTCAGGTCAATTCCAGGCCATTCCCGGGCCTACTTTACAGAACCCGGTCCCCGCCCTGCCCCACGGTCCCCTCTTCCTGGAGCTGGGCACAGCTTTCCTGTTTTTTTACATTCCCAAGCCCTGAACCCGGATGCACCAGGTGGGCAGGGGCTAAGGGCAGGAAATGGACGTGAACACGGCGGGGAGAAAGGGAGCTGGGGGACGTCCTGGGAAGGACGGACCTGCCTCTGGGTCACTCCCTGGGGACTGTCCCCTTGGCCGTCATTTGAGGGGTCATTTGAAGAGGGCGCTGTCAGAACTAGGGCTTGCCCAGCCCCCCCTCCAGCAGCTCCATACCACTCGCCCCCCCCTCCCCCCTCTGGGTCTCCGTGGTCCCCACCGTCCCCACGAGGCCAGGGACCGCACCAGCCGCCTGGAGCCCTCTGGGAGCATCTGGGGGAGGGGGATTATTCTCAACGTGGCCCCCCGCAGGCTGGAGCTGGGGGCCTTGTGGGGATGGCGGGCGGGGGCGACCGCCCAGCTCCTCCTTCCTCCAGGTTGGCAGGAAGGTTTCCATGGAAACAGCAGCTCAAGCATCTCCAGAGATTTGGGGAAAAACTGACTCTAAAAAATCACCATCTTCGTTTGGGGGATGGGGAGGGACAAGGTAGCTTGGAGGAGAGAGAGGAGCCTCCGGGGACAGGGTCCTGGGCGAGGCCCCCATCCCTCCCCTACCAGCTCCCCGCACCCACCTTGTGCTCTGTCTGCCCCTCCTGCCCCAGAAAGAGGTCTGCCGTGCTGTCCCCACACACCACAGAAGGCCCCCTCCTCCCCCTCCCTCCTCCCCCTCCCCCCCTCCCCCATGGGGACCCAAGCCCCGTCTTCCTCTCCCTTAGATCCTCAGCGCCCTCCCCCTCTGTGGCAGCCGGCCTCTGCTCACAGTCCATGCAGCCTTGGGGGAGGAGGGGACACAGGCGTGGGGACTCTTGCTGGGGAGTTAATCAAAGTGTCTGCGACTTCTCATGTTCCTGTCCCCTCCCCGGGGAGAGTGGAGAGGGTGAGGACCAGGCTGCCTTTGACCGCTGGAGAGGCAGCATCAGACACGCCGGCCCCAGGCGAGCACAGACAGGAAACCAACCCAACGTCGCCTCGAAAATGACTTTTCCCACAGTTTTCCTCCCTGGATGGGGTCCCCGATCTCTGCCAAGAATCTCCCCAAATTCCTGGCACTTGAGTGGCTCTTCTGGGAAAAGGAGCTCACTTCTCTTCTTTCCACACCCAGACCTGCTGCCCCACGGAAGGCGTCCACTCCTTTGCCCCTTCCTCTGCTCATTCAGTCACTGAACAATGGTGTGTTTATTTCGTGCCAGGTGGTTAGTTCTCAGCGCTGGGGACAAGGGCCTGCCTTGGGGGAGTGGGTGGAGCATTTGGAAACAGACAAAAATCCCATCCTTTGTGGAGCTTACTCTTTGGTGGGGGGAGAGAAAACAAACATATAAGTAAAATTCGTCATTTTAAATATAATGAAATGTCCTGGAGAAAAGGAAAGCAGGAAGAGAGCTAGAAACTGTGTTGGGAGGGGGGTTACCAATTTCAAATAAGGAAGGGTCTTGGTGAAAGGTGATGTTTGATAATGAACTGCAGGAGGAGATGGGGTGAGCCATGCAGATTTCTGAGGAAAGAGCACTCCCTAGGAAGCACATGCAAAGGCCCTGTGGCCCAGGGTGTTCCTGAGCTGTGCAAGCAGCAAGGGGACTTGTGTGACTGGACTGGAATGAGCCAAAGGAGAGCAAGTGTCATTGAAGTGAGAGGTAACGGGGTGAGTGGGTGTGTAGTGGGGTGCTCTGGGGTTGGCGGGCCATCCTGAGCTCAGGTGGGAAGGACTACAAAGACATCCTTAGCCTTCCCACGCTCTGATCCCCCTGATGAAGAAGCAGGACCTTGTCACCTGGGGCACTTGGGACCCTGCTTAGTTCTCCATATCCCCCTCCCCACTTGAAGCTGGACTCTGACAGCCCAGTATGAGTGTGTCCAGAGGGGCTGGGGGCTGTCCTAAGGCCACACAGTCCAGCCTCCCATCCCCCAGGGCCTCTGCCCTTTACCCCGCCCCCGTGGCCCCTGGCATGGCCCCGCTGGGCGCTGGCACAGTCTGTATAATTATGGTGATGATTTCCCAACACGCGGCTTTCCCTTCCCTTATCACCTCCCAGTGCGAAATAAACCGTTCAATAATTAATTGACAAAGATGAACCTGTTGTCCTCCGCCGGGCTGGGAGGGAGGGGGTGGCCACAGCCTCCGCAGACAAATGATGTGAGAAGTAATTGCCCTGCGAGAGGAGGAGAGAGGGACCAAGATCAGATTCACAAGGTCCCTTCCCAGAGCCCACGAACCGGGCGGCGGCCACTGCTGGGATTTACGTTGCTAATTCATCACTAATTAATGTTCCAAGTTGGGCCTGGGAAGAGGGGGAGTAAACGCAGAGATGCAGAGGCTTGGAGCCGAGGGGCAGGAGGGGACAGACAGGCCACAGTGAGCCGCCTCAGGGGAGGCGGGGAGGGAGCGCGGGGAGGAGCCCGCGGATTCCAGGTGTGGTCCCCAGCTTCCTGAGTGGCGGGGATGGGTCATCCTGGGCCTCAGTTTTGGAGTCTACATAATGGAGTTGGGAAACTCTCTCCAGAGGTCCTTCTAGATCTGATATTGCCGTCAGTCCTGATTTCAAACTAGTTCTGGATGAGGTGTGTGTGTGTGTGTGTGTGTGTGTGTGTGTGTCTGTCTGTCTACGTGGCCTCCGTCGCCAACACCCTGACCCAGGCCATCACCGTCTCTTGTCTGCATTATTACATCTGCTTCCACTCCCCACCCCCTCCACCATAGTCTATTTTCAGAGAAGCCGGAGGGATCCTTTAGAACAAGCCAGTTCATGCTCCACATCTGTGTAAACCTTTCATCTCACCCTGGATAAAAGCGAAAGCTGCAAGGCAGTTCCAGAAGCCCTGAGCCACATGGCCGCCATTGCCTCACCCACTCCAGCCATGCTGGCCTCATTGCTGTGGATGGCACATGCCTGCCTCCCCTGCCTCAGGACCTTTGCACCTGCTGTTCTCTTAGCCTAGAAAGTTCTTCCTGCACATGTTCACACGGTTCACTCCTCTTTGTTCAGTTTCCTGCTTGCCTCTCCAGGGAGGCCTTCCTGGACCACTCCACTTCAACTGTCTGCCCTCCTCCTCAGTTACCACCTGCTAGACAGACTGCTGTGTATTGCATCGGCTCTCTCCGCCGGGGAGTGTCATCTCTGTGTGTGGGGATGCTGTCTCTTATCTGCTGGATCCTCAGCATCTAGCTCAGTGCCGGGCACCAGGTAGGTGCTTGGTAAGTATTCCTCAAAGAATTCAGGGATGCTGCTCAGAGAGGGATTAACATGGAGAAATAGAGGAGGGGCTGGGGAGGTGGCCGTGGGGGAGCTCTGCCCCTTGTTCCCTCGGTGGGTCAGCAAAGACCGGGAGGAACTGATGTCAGGACCAGAGGGTGTCTGGGGACACGGTGCCGCCTACTGGGCCTCAGGAGGGGCCTGGGCCTGTCCCCAGCCTGCTGCTGCTGTGCCACAGAAGGGGTCTGTGTGGCTCCTTCCAGAAGCCTTGGCGCTGCTGCACAGCGCGGGCATCCCTGGCGCCTCCCCCTAGTTTAGGGGGGACGAGAGACCATCCAATTGCTGCACAATAGGGGCCAGTTAAGGGAAATGGAGTCCGTCAATAGAGTGGAAAATTAGGCAGGCAGTTAGCAGGCTGAGCTGAGGATTCCGTCGATATGGGGACTGTGTGTGGAGCTGTCCCAGGGGCTGCTAGGCTACGGCGAAGCACCCGGGACTCCGTTGCCACCTGCATTTAAGGAGCTCTTGCTGTGTGCTGCACACCTGCTGGGCCCTGGGACACTGTAACCTGGAGACCCAATCCTGCCCCGTCAGGGGGTGCACAGCCGGGCCAGGAGACGATGTGCACAAGGACCAGGACCTCAGGGGGCCGTCTGTCCAGGGCCAGCAGGCCTGAATTAAGTCCTGACTTGGCCTCAGTGGCTGGGAGCCTGGGCAAGGACCCAGGGCTGGGAGGCTTTCTTCTTCCCTCATGGTGCCCTGGGGATCGTCCAGCACGGAGTCCAGCACCTGGAGTGACTCTGTAGGTGTTTATTCAATAACAATAATAATGATCATCATGACTTCTATAGGGACAGTTATTGTTATTAATTACATGAGGACATAGAAGCTAGTGGTTAAGGACACAGACTCTCGCTGGGCTTGGTGGCGCACGCCTGTAATTCCAATGGCTTGGGAGGCTGAGGCAGGAGGATCACGAGTTCAAAGCCAGCCTCAGCAAAAGCGAGGCCCTAAGCAACTCAGTGAGACCCTGACTCTAAATAAAATACAAAAGAGGGCTAGGGGTGTGGCTCGGTGGTCAAGTGCCCCTGAGTTCAATTCCTGTACCCCCCTCCCCGCCAAAAAGAACGCAGCCTGAGTCCCAATTTTGGCTCTGCCATTTGACCAGCCCCGAGCCTCAGTTTCCCGGTGTGTGAACGAGGGTGGCAGATGCCCTGGCACCCCCAGAATGCAGCCGCTTCCCCTCGCGGGCAGCTCAGCACCCGCCAGCATACACAGAGCACGTGCTGAGCACCCTAGTTTGCTAAGGAGATCGCAACAAAGTGCCACAGACTGGGTGACTTCAACAACAGAAATACCCTTCCCCATCTGGAGGCCAGGAGTGGGGGATGGGGTGCACTGCTGGCACCCAGCAGCCCGGCGAGAGGCCCCAGGAGCTTTTCCCTCCCAGCCCTCAAAGCGCCACCAGACCTAGCTGCTGGGGATCAGAAGTAAGTTGGGGCTGTTCAGAGGGTTATTTTAGTGCATCGAGTTATTTTTGTGCAGTCTGAAAATCAGGTGGCCAGGGGAGCGGCTTCGCCTCAGTCTGAGTCTGAGCTTAGGTGGCCTTGAGAGTTTGGGGGAGGGGGAGGGCCCCGTGGGAAGAGGATGGT